GTTTAAAATGGCTCCCCGCTGTGTTTTAGGACGGATTCCTCGGTTTACAGGCACTGAAAATGGCCGCCCCATGGAGGATCTTTGCTGGACGCTGAGGTATTTCGCCCATTGGAATGCATTGAACCGGTTTTCAATGCATTTCAATTGGCTTTTTTGTTTCACTTGACAAGGATTTTGCTTAACAGCGATTTGAACAGAACGAATTATCCTCGTTAAGCAAGGCACCACTGTACAACGGGAGAGAGAACAAGCAACTCAACTTTTTTTCAGCTTTGAGCTCTCCAGATTTTTGGCCTGTTTCCACTGGGAAACTACAGGTGCTGATGGATGCTGTAGTCCAGGCGGAGCTAACCTATGGTTCCTCTAGATCCATGGTCCCCAAATGTTCTAGGACTAAAACTCCCAGAAGTGGAGCTAACCTATGGTTCCTCTAGATCCACAGTCTACAACCGTGGGTCCCCAGATGTTCTAGGACTAAAACTCCCAGAAGCCTTCACCACGAGCTGTGCTGACCGGGATTTCTGGGAGTGGCAGTCCAAGGACAACTAGGTTCACCCAAGGTTGGGAATGGCTGCTTTTGACAAAATGGGATTTGGGTGGGTGGGCCAAGAAAAAAAGGAAGAGGGTGGGATCGAAAGCTTACACAAGGACAGTGTCCCCTCCACCCTTCAGAATACAAAGAAGAAAACAGAAACAGTTCAAACACACACCTATGTACATTTATTTCCATTATGTCTTAGCTACCTTGGACTCTTTCTCTTCCTCCCTGTCATTCTATAGTCAATGTTTAAATCTCTGGGACACAGAGTGGTTTTGGGAAATCTCTGTACAACTATGTGCTGGAACAGCATCATGGCTAATTCTGAAGGTGCTGGGAAGATGGGAAGAGGCTCCAAGTCCTCTTCGCATCTTCCAGAAAACGCACAGGACAGGGCCTGCCGGACGATCAAACAGCCCGCTGTTCCGTGGGGTCGGCAGTGCGGACTGGCACCGTTAAGTAATGAAAAAGTAGGAAGTGGGTTATGTATTCCCATTTATTTATAACATCCAAGCCATATTTTGAACATCCTCCAAGACCGTGGTAACGAACCACATACTCCGACAGGTTCCACCAAACTCACAGGGCTATGACGGGGGTCCTTGTGACAGAGTGTGTGTGCTGGCCACCCCGGGGACAGGCCCGACTGTTTCAAGAGAGGCTCAAGCCCCAGAGAGGACAAACTGGCCTCAACCATTGTGAACACAATAACAGTGCCAGAGGGCAGCCACTGGCACTGGGAGAGGTACAACCTACATTGAGAAAATCACGCATCTCGAAAGACATTTAAGAAGTATGCAGACGAGTGAACGTCATAAAACTTCTAAGCAGTTTAACATTACATTTAATAACATTTAAAAATGTTCTGGTTTCGTCAGCACTTAGGATCCCTTTCCAGTAGCTGGCACAGGACTAGTGCTTTTTTTAAATAAACAGAAAAACAGAAGCATCACTAACAATTTCTAAAATAAAGACTCAGGCTTAGCTTGATTATAAGCATCACTAACAAGGCCACCCTAGGGACATTTACACGAATAAGCACCACTTCACAGGGAATTTAGGGCATGCTACTACAAATAAGCATTTACTGTGAGTGCAGCCTACCGTCACCACCTCTACGGTCTCCTCTGCAAGCAGGTATAGTCCTGCCAGCATACAAAATTAAAAGTAGGTATAGTACTGCTGGCTTACAAAATTAAAGCAGAGATCACCAACCTAATGAATGAGAAATGTCTGGCACACTTAGGGGCTGCATTTTAAGATCTTTATTATGATCACTGTTGTTGTGGTCTTGTCCTGCCTCTTTCAAGACTGCTGCAAAGATCATGAAAACAAAGGCACCAAGCACTTTCAGTAAGAGGAAGTGTTAAATAAAATGCTGTTTGAAAACAGTGACATCTGAGGATCAGTTCGGCCAGGCTCGGGTCGCGTCAGAGGCCCACATAACCCATCGTTCTGTTTAGGGGTCAACCACCTGCCCCTTCTGAGAGACAACGACACCCTCTCTTTCGTGTTTCTCAGTCACTCATCAACAGCAACGTACTATCTCTGACACTGGAGGAAGAGTCTGCCTTCCTGATTTGCCATTTTTCATGGCCGGATCCCCTCATGCACAGACCCAGCCTCCTTTTATAGCTCACACACCTTGGCCACTCTCAAAACATCAGCAAAGCTGACACCTTCACTAGGCACTGTATAAACTAAGAAGCAATCCCTTGGCTCTGTCCTTGATTTCTACCATGGTTGAACATCCATTTAGGACCCTGGGTTTTAGTTTTATGAGCAGGAGAAAAGCCACTGTATTTTACCCTATTTTCATTTTCTATTTATTTTGCTCCTGATGTATGGAAAAATGCCATAAAAGCGCAATAAGTGAATTTTACTTTGAGGGAGTGAGAGACAGCAATGCCTTCAGCTGCAACAGCTTTAAAGAGGAACAGAGATCATTTGTGGAGGAGGCCCGTACCGAATTACTGACGACAACAGCCAGAAGCTGCTTTCTGTATTCACCGTGCCAGATAATAGAGGGAAATAACTTAAGAGGGAGGATTCACTGCTGACTGTGAGGGCTAGGTTCGACCTGTGACCTTTAGGCATTTGGCTGCAGAGCCAGACGCTGGTGTGTGTGTGTGTCCGTCAGCATAGTTCAGTGGTTTAGGTCTCTAGCTGCAAAACCAGAGGTTGGGAGTTCGAGTCCTCACTGGGCCTCCTTGACAGGGGCTGGACTGGATGATCCAGAGGGTCCCCTTCCAGCTATGCAGTTCTAACATCATTATTGAGCTGCTGGACTGCTCAGTGATTTGGGTGACCAGACAGGGCCAAACCGCTATTAGACATGATTGCTCAGTGGAACCTCCATGTGCAGAGATAGTCTACCTCTGAGCCAGAGGTGCCAGTTTAAAAAAAGGGGGGACAGGCTTTGACCTTCATGGACAGTTTCTGAGTTTCTTAGAACCATCTACTTCGGGGAAAAAACCAAATACTACAAAGGGTTGAAACTAAAATGCCCCCCAAAAAGTCAGTGATGACTGGGATTCGTCTCTGCCCCTGCCTGACCTACCTCACAGGCCTGTTGTGAGCACAAAGTAAGGGGCAGGAGGGGCAAAATGCAAGTAGCATAGATTAATAAGCAAACTCTAAACCGGCCACGCCCACAATGGATTAGCTCCGCCCAACTGGTAGGGTCCCAGCCAAAGGTTTTAAAGGAGGAACCAGCAACGGCGTGACTACGCAGGCGCAGATTCATCCAAGATGGCGGCCCCGCCTCCCAGGCAGGCCACGCCCCTTTCCTCAGCCCCAGGAGCCCCAGGCCGCGGGCCCGGCGGGCGAAGCGGGGGGCGCAAGGCCACGCCCACAATGGATTAGCTCCGCCCAACTGGTAGGGTCCCAGCCAAAGGTTTTAAAGGAGGAACCAGCAACGGCGTGACTACGCAGGCGCAGATTCATCCAAGATGGCGGCCCCGCCTCCCAGGCAGGCCACGCCCCTTTCCTCAGCCCCAGGAGCCCCAGGCCGCGGGCCCGGCGGGCGAAGCGGGGGGCGCAAGGACTCCCACCTACCGGACGCGACGCCGGGGCAACGACGTCACGCTGCCGCCGCTGCGACTGCGGGGAGGAGCAGCCAATGAGAGAGCGCGGCGCCTACCAAGTGAGGAGCAGGCACGGGGTTGGTGGTCGAGGGAAAGCGAAGGACGAGGAATAGACCAGCAAGTTCGGCAGCACGGGGGGGGGATTTCGAAGAGAAGGAGGGGCAGCGTCGTTTGGCTGCCCAAAGCGGGCTGTTGTTGTTAAGTCGACTTAAGACAACAAGGTCTTATACGAGCTTCGTAGATAGCGGGGGCATTCAATTGTTAAGTTAAACACCCCACTATCTATAAGTCCTTAACAACTAACTTAATACCCAGTGTCCCTGAAAACAAGCCCTATCCTGAAAACAAGCCCTAGTATGATTTTTCAGGATACTCACCGTATATAAGCCTTACCCCCAAAAAAATCAGCCCCAGTTCAGTGAAACCCCCACCTTCCACCCTTGTGCAGCAACCAGAAGAAGATGGCAGGACTGTATTTGAATAAACGTAGAGTGTTGTAACTTTAAAAAAATATCCACTGAAAAGGAGACCTAATGCGTTTTTTGGAGCAAAAATTAATATAAGACCCTGTCTTATTTTCGGGGAAACACGGTAACTAACTACTCCATCTGAGAATGCCCACAGTATAAGAACCACTAATTTAATAACTAACTACTCTAACAAGGCCTCTGCTATCTATAAGTCCCTAACAAACTGAGTCAATATATATAGGAATGCCCCTGCTGTCTGTAAGAACGACTAACAATAACTACTCTATCCAAGAATGCCTTCATCTACAGGAACTTAATAACTAGCTACTTTAAGAATGCCTCCACTATGTTTCTAACTAATTTAATAAGTAACCATCTATCTAGGGATGCTCCCCCTCCTGTTTAGAAACCTTGATAAATAACTCCAGAACTGAAATCCTAATAAAATGCCCTAGATTAGAAGATATGGTTCCCAACGGCCCACCCAGGCCTTCCAAAACAACCACCCTATATTGCCTCTTTGCTACCTCTTCCCCCTTGCTCCCCACATTTTTATATATTTAAAAAAACACCCCAGATCTATACGCACTATAGATCTGTAGGTTGGGACGGGGTGGGGTGGAGATGTCCTTTATGCTTGTTCTATTCCTGGAAAGCGGCCAGAGCCGTGGCAAGGCAGCCAGATGGTCCGGGAGAAAAATAACAAAATTAATATATTTATTTCTGCCCATTGGGACCCTCTTAGGCACCATCCAGCGGAGATGAGGGGAGAGAGAAAAGATCTCTTGTGGGCGTGGCCAGGCGAACTCTGCTGCCATAGCAACAGCGCAGCGGCCGCCATCTTGTCCTTCGGGGGGGAGAGAGAGAAGGGAGGGGCGGGGCCTCCGCTACGTCCTCGCGGGCCGCTCCTGGACCGGAAGGAGAACCAGAGGACACCGGAAGCCCTGTTTTGGACCCGGAAGTGGCACGCAAAGGATGGAGCGGAGATTCCCGGCGGCGGCTGCCCTCACGGTGCTGCTGTCGCTGCTGGTCTCCGTCCCGAGGCTGCTCCGGTGGGGGGCGGAAGGCGGCCCGCTCGGAGACTCCCTCTCGGCTTTCTCGCTGCGGCCCGAAGCCGTAAGAGGGCTGGAGGGTGAGACCCCCCAAGGCCTTTTTTCTCTCTTTCTTCTTCCCCTTGTGGGCTCTCCCTTCCAGAGTCAGGGAGGCATAGGACCCTTCGGCCTATTTGCTTCCTTTCTTCCTCTCTTTCTTAATGTCTTCTCTTCCTTATCCTCTCCGGGAACAGGCTCCTGGGTTAGCTTATTTATTGATCTCATATATACGGATTTATTTAGCTGATTTGGGAAGAGTGCATGAAAAAGGCTTCCGTGTAGGGCCCCCGTATCCGCGGGAGATCGAGTCCAAAGGCCCCCCACGCGAATGCCGCAAAAACGCGGGTTGTAGCGTTCGTTATGGTGTGCTGTGTGTAACCCACGTTTTCCAGCATCCGCGGGTGGGCTTGGGACTGATCCCCCCTGGATATGGGGATCCTACTGTAAAAGACACGCATACAGGTGCTCATCCGGTATAAATTCAAAGTGTATGGCAAAAATAAATTGTTGCCCCCACCCAGTGCTCAAAATCTGTGATATGTTTCTTCACGGATTGCTCTGACTTGTCTGAATAACGGTTCTCTTTCTTTGTCTTTGCTCAGCCTGTTACTCCTTCCAAGCACTGAAGCTCAGGGGCTGCCCTCTAGTCAGAGATACAGAAATAAAATAGCAGTATGCTCTCCTAATCATCGTGTATTTATCTCACTGGTCTTGAGTAGCGGGTGACCGATTTGTCTCTACAGAACACCAGAGATCAGCACCTGAGTATTTTAGCGAAAAACCACCATACCTGTCTGGCTTACAGCACTGATCTTCCTGAAAGGGAAATAACCGCTGTGCCCCCCCCCCAAAAAAAAGTCTGTCATGGGCGAGCAAATCCAAAGGCTATCTCGATTAGCAGTAGCAAATGATGGCAGAGATATTGCAGCAAAAGAAAATAGGTCATGCACTGAGTCCACAGAAATTGCCTCCATCCTGCAAACCAGAGCTGATGCTTCAACCTGCTGAACAGAGCTCTGTGTTAAACACAGGGTAGCGCTTTAGCGCATTCGCATGCATGGGCCATGACCCAGTGGTCCTCTGTGTGAGACAGATTTGGCCAGATCGCGAGACCGGCATGGGAACCGGGCTCTGGATTCTTGCTTGAGGGTCAGTAGTTTCCTTCTTTGGTTGGAATCCCTTAAACTGGTGGTTTTCAACCAGAGTGCCATGCTTCTCTGAGATTTGGTAAAATGGAGAGAATTGGGGAAGCACTCCTTTGCAGGAAAAAAACAGTATATGTCTTCAGCATATTTTCTAGATTCACAAAGCTTTGCCTTATGTTCTGTCTCAATATTTTAAGTAAAAATACCAGGGAGGCATTTGGTGAGATATCTGAGTTTCTCAAAGACACAGGGAGGTGTGGATTAAGATTGAGAATCACCGCTGTAACACTGTCCCAGCAACAGGTCTGCCCTTTCCTTCTGTAGATTAATGCATCTGGTGTGTCTGGAATACTAATCTAACCTTTCCAATATAATGCAATATATAATGTTGTATAATATAGTTCTTCCCATATAATACAAGCATCTGGATTAGCTGCTCACTGAGTTCTTCCGTCAGCAGTTTTTTTTCTCCAAAATTGCTTTCTCCCACTTTTCCCCCTCCCAGTTTACAGGCTGGTCACCTACATCTTTGTTTACGAAGATGTCATATCCTTGGTTTGTGGCACCGTCCTCATTTGGTACTTCGCCAGCAGTTTTGAGAAGTCCGTGGGCACCGCGCGGCATTGCTGCCTCACCGTGTCCTTTGCCGTGGCCTCAGCTCTGCTCTACCTCCTCCTCTGGGGTCCCTTATCCGGACATTTAGAAGTGGCTGCCCTGCAAGGATTCACCCCTCTGGCTTTGGCCATGCTGGCCGCCTCGGTCGCTCGCTCTCGGATGAGGAGGACGCTGCTCTTGGGGGTCAATGTGCGGATGGCGCTGGTGCCGTGGCTGCTGCTTGGGTTCTCCTGGCTCATACCAAACTCTTCCTTTCTCGGGAACACCTGTGGCCTTGTGGTCGGGAATATTTGTATCCTTTTGACCAGACCTCCATGAACTCTTTTCAGATGGTTAAAAACCACACTTCCCTTACGTGAGTCAATTTTACAATAAACTTTTAAGGCACACTGACTAAAGACACTTAAATTCTACTTTATGAAGTAGGGCAAAGTACTTCATATCCCTGGCATCCGAGGACTTAGTCCAGATGTTCTGTCTTTCTCTACAGGGGTGTGTATGGGGTAGGGTGTCAGGCCTGCTCTTATCAGTATTTGCACAGCGCTGAGCTCTGATATGTAGTTTGGAAAACTGAAAATAGCATACCTTGAAAGATCAGCAGAAAAAAAGGGGGTGTGGAACCAGGACAGACCTGAAAGATCCACAAATGAATTGTTAGCCTGCTGCATTTCAAGTTCTCTAAGTGACTTGAAGATTATAAAATAGGAAGTTGTTTTACTTCAGTGTTTGAGTGTTTTACTTCAGTGTTTGAGTGCCCAGGAAGAAGTGTCTCAATGAGAAACGCATGGTTCGGTCTGATCTTGGGGGTTTGTGGCATTTCTGTGAAGCATTTTTAAAAAAATTCTTGTACATGTTTTCCTGTGCCATATTCCGCACTAGCAGTTGGAACAGAGTTCAGAAATAAAACCAGTGATCCAGAAAAACAGTATAAAGTGACAGTTCTGTGGAAGCAGAAACTCTCAGAGCTTCTGTGTTGGATCACTTGAAATGGCTGAATGTTCTTTCAGAACATCCTTCTCCCTTCGGTACTGTATCTTGTTAAATGCCTCTGAGCATCTCTGATTTTGGAAGCTAAGTAGGGTCAGACCTGGTTTTTACTTAGAGACCTCCAGGAACTCTCAAGGACTTCTAGGAGGGGCTAGGAAAGAATCCCGTCTGAAACCGTGGGGAATTGTTTGTGGTGCTCAGTGTTGTTGCTACCAGGAGGTTACTCTGTGTGTGGTAGCTTCTGGGTTTCTGCCTTAACATTTGGTGAAATATCTTATCTTTCAACCACTCTTACGTTGATAGTTTTCCTTACCCTATGGCTAATCTCAGATGGTTACAGCTACCGCTTAGGCATGGATCTCCCTGAATCGACTGTCTCTCGCTTAGATCAAAAGCTCCCTTTCCGGCTGCTAAAGAGGATCCCAGGGCTGACGTTCATTCCGGGATCTCTAGCAGAAAGAAGGGCTTCCCAGAGCAGGAAGTAAGTAATGGAGGACCTGTAGCCTCCAAGATCTTGCTGGACTCCCATCAGCTCCAGCCTCAGCAAGGACCGGGTTCAAGGGTAATGGGGGACAGAGTTCTGCCGATCTGCTTTGATTAGGGTTCCTGCCTCGAGCAGGGAGTTGGACGTGGTGAACTTACAGGCCCTTTCCAACTCCATGATTTTACAGTTTTATGATTATTTAATTTTAAATAGTATTTGGTAGGTAGGTAGGCGTATATCCCGCATGCAACTCAAGTCATTCGTTTCCTCTGTTCTTTCCAGGCTAAACCCAGTGCCAGGGTCTTACCCCACACAGAGCTATCACAGCCCTCCACCTCCTGCCGCCTTCACCCTCCCTGGGCAGCAAAGCAGTCCGCAGATCCAGGCGCCTGGGCCACCATACATGCCAGGTCTTGCGCCACAACCCACCGCCAGCGTTGCAGGAGGGACACCTGCCCCGAACCAGTTGCATCATCCACCAGGATCCTTTCCCCCATCCCTGCATCTCACCGGGTCGAACTGGCAGGTCCCCAGGAAGACCGACGGGTCCGGTGTCCACCAAACTGCTGGGGTCCTGGCTGCGGGGGCTGCCCCAGAAGCCATGGGACTGTGCCGGGTTCACGTGGGCTGATCCCGGCGGGTGGTTCAAATCTCTGCCCTGCATTGAAGAGGGAGAGGTTCCTCTCAGATGGGGGGGGGAGTGGTCTACTCCAGGCAAGGGAAGAGATCAAGAGATCCTTACAAGCCAACATACCAAGGTCAGCCATCCCTGCCTGAAGGAGCAAAGATCCAGCGACCTTCTGGGCTGCTTCATCAATGCCTTTTTGGAGAACGTACACTGCCAACAGGGAACTCTACAGGGATCCGCCTCCTTCCCAAAGCTGTGTTCAAGAGATCTCACATCTCTTTGTCGGTCCTGACAGAGAGAGAGAGGATGGTTCCGTGTAATGTGTCCTGTGCCTTTTTTTATGCCTTCTGTGTGTCTTTACTGTGAAAAGGGCCCCCGGCCTTCCCTGTTTGGAATAAGGCCAGCATGCAAGGAGGCCAGGCAGGAGCTGATGGTTGGAGGCGTAGCCTCTGAATCACCCATCCATCAGCGTATGCCATAGTGAGCAGGGATCTAAAGTTCCAATTCCGTTTCTGCAGGTGGATTCTTCAGCTTTCTGGGAGTTCCTGGCTGTGAAGGATCAATATCAATAACATGTTTGATCTCAGCAAAGCTGGGTGTAAGTAACATAAAGGACTGGAGCCTCTGGGATTAATTATGGCTGTGGGTGGAACCGTAGGTCTTAATTACAGCAAGGTGCTTTGCATGTAGATGGTCCCTCCTGCCCTCACTTGTTAATATCTAGGTCAGGTGGCTGGGTGGGTGGATGATCTCTGGGTGAGATACAGAGAATACTCAGAGGAGGTTTCCCACTGCTTCCTCCGAGTGGCGCTCCGGAACCATTCAGCCTGCCCAATGCCATACAAATGGCTGGGGGTGCTTCACTCAGGTCACTTCAGTGCCTCTGAAGGGAGACGGACAGGCCCCACCTTGAGATAGAGGTTGGTTTCCATGAATTCAAGGAATCCTTCAGGGACCCAGAAGGATAAAAGCTTGAACTAACGGATAAGGCATTTTAAAAAACACTCTGAATAGCTGAGCCCGTAAGGTTTATGGCTTAATTAATTTCAGGGGGGGTGAGGGGCTCTAGACAATCTAACACTTACCAAAGGCCTTAGTTGTTCCTTAAATTTTTTTTCCTAGAGCTCAAAAGAAAGGCATAGTCATATTGTAATAAAATTACATTTCCTCCCATTCAGGCCTGCCATGGCCTTGAAGTCTCTGGTGCTATATACTAAAAGGGTTGTTAGGCTGCCCCACCATCCACGTTATGCACATCATGGACCACAGATCTTGCATGAGGGGAGAGACGATGACTCTCCCTGGGGTGGATGTTTCTCAGCCTGGGTGTTGTTGCCGAAGTCTTGTGTCACGGGATGGAACATGTTGTGGAAATCTAGTCTTTGGATCAATGGGACCATTTAAGGTGCTCTTTAAGAAACATCAGCCTGGGTTCCTCTGGGGAACGCAGAACAAGCGGCGTATAAGTCTCTTTGCAGGCAAAGGAAGAGCAAAGCCCCATTTTGAATGCTTTTATTTTACTGCAAAGAAGCTGAATAAAAATATTACAGTTCTAACCATGTATCTACAAAGAAGGAGACCTTTCTTGGCTCATACTGGAATCATTTTGGCTTTGCTTCGATTTTGGCCTTTTTTGCCTCTCTCATCCCCTCTGAAGCCCAGGCTGCAGATTTTTCAAATATGCAGGAACTGAAATGAGCGGTTCAGCACAAAGCTGACAGAAACCAGGCAGTGCATTTAGCTGCTACACTAAAGGCAAGTAATTTCAAAATGTGTTAAACACACTGGGCAGGCCAGTGGATGCATTAAAAGCCAACATACTTATTCTGGAAATGGACTAGAATCCATTACATCCATATGTGAAGAGTTAATTTTAATTAATAGAGAGAATGAAGCAGCAGCTAATCACCAAAGACAGTGAAGATGACCTAGCATAAATGGGGAATAAACTTTAGAGGAGAGTCCCAATTCACAAGATGGTATGTAAATAGAATTTGTGTATTTTTTAAATGTGTGTATCTGCTGTAACTTCAAGATTGTTAAATGTCAACACTGAAGCCGGGAATTGACGACTAAGGGTTTCTGGAATGTACATCTACTGTATGGATTTTTTTAATGAATTAAAACGAAGTTAATAAAGATTTGTCTGTAGCCTGCAGTACCATCTTCAGCCTTTAGGAGGCAGACTTCCCTTGAGCCTGTGAAACTTCAAAGCAGGCGTGGAAGACTCATTTCTATGTAGGACCTTCAGGCAGCCACTAGATGGCGAACCCTCCCACAATTTTAATGCCCGCAAGCCTGAGGTTTAAAGTGGAACCACTGGTTTCTTCACTGCGTTGGTGCCCTTGACACAATTAGTTGCTTCAAAGCCTCGTTTGTATCTCTTGGAAGCTCTCTAACACAGTGACTAAGCTGGGGCAGTAACGAATTATCTCTACAATATTTGCATTAAGATCATATGATCCCTCCTAGTTTGCACTAAAGGACCTGTCAGAAGCTTTCAAGAAGCCTTATTAGGAAACATGTTATTACTACAGTTGCTTCCTGATATGGTTTTGCAACTACCAGCCTTTAGAGGCTTTTCTCTTTCAACCTACACAGGTTAGATCCACACATTGCAACTAACCAGGGTTGATAAACCCATTCTCAGTGTCTCGTGCACAGTGCTCCGAGGGCCTAAAAGCACAGGAAAGACCACATCTAGATTGTGATTGTTCTACAAAAGCTTCTTTTGCTGGTCGCCTAGAGCTGGTTTTCACTCGCCAAAGGCGACTAAGCAAAAGAGAAGTCAGGAAATTAACATGCAGCTCAGTTACCAGCTATTCTAAGCATGTCTCTCCCCCCCCTCAGCCCTCCCTACATTTTGCAGCTCCACCTCCCCATTGACTTTGTCTCCCTTTCAAGGGAAAAGTTGAGACTTGATCCATGGAACCAAAGGTGCCATTTGAATGAAAGCGGTTGGCTGGTGCTCATTTTTCTTCTTCGGCTTGCTTTGGCTTGCTGCAGAGAGTGGAACGATTCCTTCTAGATAAATCTGCCCCTTCTCTCCCGAGCAAACAAAGGGCCCTCCGGCAGTCAACTACCGAAACAAAGAAAAAAGAAGTCATGGAAACAGAAATGTGTGTAATTTGAGTGGGGATCCTCTGATGGATCTGTTCATTACACACACGTTACATCTCTAGTCTGAAATCTCTTCCCCTTCATCATCACAACAGCCCCATGAGGTAGGCCAGGAAGAAAGAAAGAAAGGAGGATGGGGCCCCAGACCAGTCAGCAAAGTTTATGGTACGATGCTCCCTGTGTCCCTAGTCTCTGTTTCATTTGTCTGGCTCTAGTTAGTTCATGAACGACATTTACTATACAGTATACAGTGGTGCCTCGCATTACAGCGTTAATTCGTTCCAGTGAAATTGCTGTAGAACGAAAACGTAATGCGAAATTAAAAAGCCCATTAACCCAATTAATGCGTTCCTGTGGGCTTGAAGCTCACCATCCAGCGAAGATCCTCCATAGCGCGGCCATTTTCGCTGCCTGTGCAGCGAGGAATCCATCCCAGAAAACAGTGGGGAGCCATTTTATTTACCCGGCGGCTATTTTGAAACCGCTGATCAACTGGCCGAAAATCATCGTTTTGCGAGAATCGGTTCCCAAAGCAGGGAACTGATCATCGCAAAGCGAAATTCCCCCATTGAAACCATCGTAAAGTGATCGCTTTTGCAATTGCAAAAAGTTTGTCGTAATGCGGTTTCGTCATTAAATGGGGCACTCGTCTTGCGAGGCACCACTGTACAGTATTTATTTAAAATATTTGTATGCTGCCATTCTCTTAAAGGATCCAAGGCAGCTTATGGTATTAAAAGGGACAAAGTTAAATGCCGAATCATAAACCATTACAATACTTAAAAAGCAATAAACAGGTATCATATTAAAACGCATAATAAGGACAATATTAAAAACAGAAGTAAAAGGCGGGGGAGAAATGCTCCCTTTAAAAAATATCCGCTTGGTCAAGCCAGCCTGAAGAGAGATCTTTTATCTGCTTGCAGGAGAGCCAAGATGGGGTCAGGCTGGCCTCCAGTGGCAGGGAGTTCCAGAGTCTCTGGGAAACAGCCACAGAGAAGGCCCTCTCCTGTGTCCCCACCAAGTGTGCCTGTGAAGATGAAGGGACCGAGAGAAAGGCCTCTCGTGAGAGTTTTAGCACCCGAGCAGGTTCATAAAGGGAGGGTGATGCCTTGCTAAAAATAAATTAAGCAAATTACCTCAAGGTTCTTTTTGTGATCAGACGTCTTTGCACAGGTTGATGCCAAGGACGGCGTGAGGATGCAGTCCATCAGGGAGCTGACCGTCCACTGAAGGACTTTGCTTGAATCTGTTGGAAAGAAACCCCCCAGCACAAAGCTGTCATTTTGGCAACACGGTCTTGTTCGTAGAATCACAGAATCATGAAGATGGAAGAGGGAATCGAAGGCCATCCAGTCCAGCCCTCTGCTTGAGGCAATGATCCACGTCCAGGCAGATCTGCCAGGGGGTTGTTTAAGTTTCTCTCGAAGGCCTCCAGCATTAGAGCGCTCACTACAGTGGTGCCTCACTTAACGACGTTAATCCATTCCAGCGAAATCGCTGTAGAACGAAAACATCATAAAGCGAAATCAAAAAGCCCATTGAAATGCATTGAAAGCCATTCAATGCGTTCCAATCGGCTGAAAACTCACCGTCCAGCGAAGATCCTCCATAGGGGCGGCCATTTTCGGGTGTCTGTAAAGCGAAAAATGGCTCCTAAACACAGCGAGGAGCCATTTTGTACACCTGGCAGCCATTTTGAAACCCAACGATCAGCTGTTTTTGATCATCGTAAAGCGAAAATCGGTTCCCGAAGCAGGGAACTGATCATCGCAAAGTGGAAAAACCCAATTCAAACCATCATTTTCCGATCACAAAAACATTGTCATCAAGCGAATTCGTCGTTAAATAGGGTAATCGTAAAGTGGGGCATGACTTTACTTCTCAAGGTCATGGGCTCTGTCGTCGAGCATAACTGTACTTCTCAAGGTCATGGGCTCTGTCGTCGTACTGCTCTAACTTAGGAACTTTTTCCTGATATCCAACGGAAATCTGGCTGCTTGTAACTTGAGCCCATCATGGCCTATCCTCCACCAGAATGTACAGTTTCCTTGAGAAACTGTACATTCTGATAAAGAGATCTAGTGTAAGGATATAAATGAATAACTTTTTTCCTTTATATATATTGAATGTCTTCCCTCACTTACCCACCCAACATTTTTTGGAAACCAGTCATTCAAACCCAGATCCTATCTTGTTTACCCTCCTGTTTTGATGGCGCAATGGGAACAAATTCGCAATCAATGCCCCACGGGCAAAACAGGGAACCGAGGGTTGCTCTCAGCTTCCGATGCCGGAAACCAACTCACTTACGATGATTTCCCTTGGATCCGAGGGTCCAGCACTCAGTTCCTGGACGTGTAACCCGGGAAGGGTCAGGAAGGCAAACAGGGTGGGCCGAAGAAGTGATGGGGACAGATTTTGCCAACTGGATTAGCACAATATCAGAGGAGTGGGGGATGATCCTGGCAACGGTATACAGCTCATTCGGAGGAGTGTGCTTCTCAGACAAGCCAAGCTTTAGGGTATATAAAGAGAGGTTGCTGTAAGGAAAAAAAGATAGACAGGAAGTTACAGATCTCTCTTAACTTTGTTTTCTCCCACCATCCATTTGTTGCAAGACTGAAACCAGTTTGAACAGCGACAAAGCGTGAGAAAAGGCCTGCTTTTTCCTTGGCTTAAAAATAAAAATGAAGGAGATCGTTCATCTGTTTTAGTTTTGTTTCATTTCATACCAGGGATGGAGTTCATGAAGCTTCTTGCTTCCGAAGCATTCAGTTTAGCGCTATTTCACTATTAGACAAACGAACAAGAGGGGGAAGTGACAAAAAAAAATCATTTAGGAGAGAGATGATCATTTTGGCAGGGACCTTGCAACTTTTATTTATTTATTTTTAAAGGAGCCCATTGTAAAAAGAGCCGATTTCCAAACCTGATAAGAGGTGTACGCCTACTTTGGTCGAAGCTATCCATTTAGCGCTATTCCACTGAAGGAAACCAACCAACCACCCGCTCCTAAAAAAAAAAAATCCAGCAGGGAAGATCATTTCTGGGGTTTCCTCCAGATGTTTTCTGAGGTGGTTTAGGAAAAGATAATCACTGCCATCGGTAGCGTTCAAAGGAGTTGATTGCAAAGAACATAATCCTAGCCAGCTAAACATTGTGAAAAAAACAGCAAAACAGGATATTCAAGGGACTCACTCAAGTGCCACACAGCTCTTGGCGCTGAGCACCCAGTTTGCTGCAATCAAGCAACCAGCGCAAATGGGGTGCCCGTCTTTCAGCACGGTGGTGACCCACGGCCATTCATGGTGTTTCTGGATATTTTTGCCATGCCCAAGGCCAGGTGGATTTTTCTGATGTTTCTGGTCGTGGTTTACACCAGTAAGAATGGGCAGTGAGGACGCCGGTTTTATTAGACAGATTCCATTGTAATCTACGAAAGAAACAAAGTATTCAGTATTTACTTCTGAGTCACTGGTAAACGGGTATGGGTTATAATCCACAGTTGTACCAGAGCGTTGGGAAAAAATTATTATAAAAATCTTTGGGGGGAAAAATGAAACAATCAAAACCAGAGAAATTCATAAAAACATTGGCTGGTATTATATAACAAAAAAATTATTATAAAAATCTTTGGGGAAAAATGAAACAATGAAAATCAGAGAAATCCATAAAAACATTGGCTGGTATTATAACAGATACAAGTTTTAACCAAAATCCTAAGTATCAGTTAAATATCAGTCTAATATGTACTGTGTTCCTAACGCAGCAGGAGATCCATATCTGTGGGAACAATATCTGCATTTTTTACTTATCCGCAGTCTGAAAACCTTAAAAATATTAAAAGAAAAATCTCTGAAATACGTACTTCCATGCTGTAGTTACCAGAACTGGTCACTAGAGGGAGCCAGAGACCATGCTATGTATAGTGTTCAGTATTATCTGCGGTTTTCGGCATCCACAGGGCTTAGAACTGATCCCCTGTAGATACGGGGATCCTATGTAGTGGCAGTCCAGTGCTGTGATTTGTACAAGTGACACTTCAGTTAGCCTAAATCCTTAATAGGATACTGACTGTTTATGGGAACTACATCCTGCCTAGACCAGCTGGAGAATTCTGGACGTCGTCCTTTTATTGGGGAGGTGGGAGAAGGTGAGAAAGAAAGTGTCAGTCAGTTCACCTTCCACGTGTATGCTGTCTTCTTCTATCAGGACGGCGTCTCGAACTTCATGGTAGCCACGTTTCATTTCTTGGGCCACTGTGCTGGGAGGAAGCTTGGGGGCTCGGGGGCTGTCGTGAAACCCCAGCAGGAATTTTGCCCTCATCGGTTCAGGCCTGGAAAGAAAGTGGAGCTAAGAAAGACCCACCTTTCGGAGATGTTCTCCTACCGAATCTTGGCCGAATTGGCTTTGGCAAAGTCACACTGCTTAGACGAATAAATAATCTTAGATCTGCGGAACTGGAAGGGACCGTATGGGGGTCATCTAGGAGGACGGACTCAGTGCTAAGAGATTAAATTCTAAAAGTGTATGGGGGTCATCTAGGAGGACGAACTCAGTGCTAAGAGATTAAATTCTAAAAGGGCAAGTTGGAATGATACAATCCAGGCCCAAATACAGGTTGTTTCCTACATTTATAATAATAAATAACCACATGCCATTTAGTCAAAATCTGACTCAGAGTGATCCTTTTCACTGTTTCCCAGGTAGAGAATACTCAGAAGTGGTTGACTATTCCCTTCTTCTGGGGCTGTGCTGGGACTATTGTGCAGCTCGAACCCAAAGCCCACCAAGGCTGGATCTACTTTCAGGAGGCCCCGTGGGGGAATCAAACTCCCAACTTCTGGCTCCGAAGCCAGAGAAAAAAGCCACTCAGCTATCCAGCCAGCTTAGTTACTTTATAAACACTTGTTGTTTAGTCGTTAAGTTGTGTTTGACTCTTAGTGACCCCACGGACCAGAGCACGCCAGGCCCTCCTGTCCTCACTTTATAAACACACTTTAAAACAAAAATGACAGTATCTATGAGGAGGGGCAACAACTTTACTGACAGTGACAGATTGTACTTTCTTGGGCTCCATGATCACTGCAGATGGTGACAGAAGCCACGAAATTAAAAGATGCCTGCTTCTTGGGAGGAAAGCGATGAAAAACCTTGACAGCATCTTAAAAAGCAGAGACATCACCTTGGCAACAAAGGTCTTCATATGGTTTTTCGAGTAGTGATGTATGGAAGTGGGAGCTGGATCATAAAGGAGGCTGACCGCTGAAGAATTGATCCTTTTGAATGGTGGTGCTGGAGGAGGCTCTTGCGAGTTCCCTGGACTGCAAGGAGAACAATCCTATCCATTCTGAAAGAAATCAAGCCTGAGTGCTCACTGGAAGGACAGATCCTGAAGTGGAGGCTCCAATACTTTGACCACCTCAGGAGAAGAGAAGACTCCCTGGAAAAGACCCTGATATTGAGTAAATGTGAAGGCAAGAGGAGAAGGGGACGACAGAGGATGAGATGGTTGGACAGGGTCATCGAAGTGACCAACATGACTTTGACCCAACTCCGGAAGGCCGTGGAAGACAGGAAGGCCTGGCGTGCTCTGGTCCGTGGGGTCACAAAGAGTCCCACATGACTTAACGACTAAACAACAACTCCTTTATTAACATGGATTCTCTTTCTACTCTTGGGGTGCAAGTTTTTGAGTGTGACAGAGCTCTTCATCCTGTTCGGTGGCAAGAGGTGGAAGGAAGGAACCCGGAAGTCCCCTAAGGAGCTCCATCTTTTGACTCCATCCCGAGGCGGAAGGTGCGAAGACTGCTGAGTCACTGGCACACCGAGTGATGGCTGCCAAAGTGGGCGAGACAACAGTGAGCAGTTGATCCCTGTAAACATAAGGCTGCTTGTAGTTCAGAAACCTGACCCTTTGCCTTAGGCAAAACAGAAATATTTCGTAAGCAGCCTAGAGCAGAGAAAGAAAAACATTCTTTGGGTCCCCAGATGCGTTTGGAGTACAACCTCCAGAAATCCTGGCTAGCACAGCTGGTGATGAAGGCTTCTGGGAGTTGTAGTCAAAGGTTGGAAACTATGGCTTTAAATTCAGCACCCCGTTCAGCTGCCCTGCTCTAGTTACACCTCTGGATTCCATCTAACAAAGCTAAAAATAGTTTTTTTTTCTTTCCACTTTCACCAATGTAACTAAACAGGTTGCATTTAATTGACTTTAAAGATATATCTGAACACTGTAAACGGCTGGCCTCATTTCCGCTCCTGACAGCCTCAAAACTTGACACACAACATGAAGGTGTGATATTCCTTCTCTGCCACTGAGTGGCGCCACACCCTTGTAAGTGTAGAAGTAACTAAAACGAACCTGCTGGCCTCATTTCTGCTCCTGACAGCGCTTGGATTGGTTTTTTTTCCCCAAAGGGACTTGTTGAGTCCATCATTACTTCTCAGCAGCCAGATCATCATTGGCCACAATCATTGCCCTTATAGCACCACTTTGTTCGTTTTTGTGCTGTTATTCCCAGTCATCCAGAAATACAAGAAATACTCTGTGGTGCCTCCTTGTGGCCACTGATGATACTGCACCTTCCAAAATACAAAAGGCACAGGATACTACTTCTCTGGCCATTTAGTTCATAACAAAATGGCACAAAGCCTGTCAAAACAAGTCGACCTTTGAAGCTAATTAGAATATTAACTCTTTATTCCTAAATGTACTTTTGTAACTACAGTACTGCTTACATTACCTTCACTGTAATTTTGACTGTCATTTTGTATCTCTACATTACATGACAGATCCAGATATAACTAGTTACAGGTAACCTGACTACTCGCATAAAGTCACTGACAAATCATGATTAAGTTCCACCTTGAATGAAAGAAGAAAAAAAGGATTACTTTGAAATACCTTGTTAACATCAAAGCACTAGAAATGGTTAGACTTACTCAAATGCCAGCACTGTTGATTCCCGATATTGCTTTTTTAATGCACTGTTGACAAACACATCATTGATCTGGAGGGAAAGAGGAGAAGAGAAATGGCAGTTTAGTAAAAGCTGCTTATTAGGTTTCAATACTTTCTGTATGTATTTCTCGGAGAGAACATCAAGATATGTACAGGATTGTACTGCTTTTATCCATCCATCCATGCTTTAAACAGCAACTAGATTTTGTGTGGAGATTTACCAAATAATTATAAATCAACAAAAAAATTATTGGAAAATGGCGCTCGGCACCACTGAGATCAACCCATTCATGATGTCAAACCTGGGTGAAAAACCTATGGCTCTCCAGGGGTTGGGGGGACTACAGATCCCATCATTCTCCAGCATTGGGTACCATGCAGGTTGTGTTGGAACAGCTCAGAGGCCACGCATTTCCTGCCTCACTCAATAGCACGGAGGGATGTCTCTAGGGCTGCAAGCCAGCTAGTCTGTACCTGCACTAAAGGGGGTTGGTTCGGATGACCTCTGGGATCCCTTCAAACTCTACTACAGTAGGACCCTGTATCTGCGGGATCACTATCCGCTGATTTACTGGTCCACGGCCTGAAAATATTAAAAGAAGAATCCTAGAAAGAGAAGAGTCGGACACGACTAAACGACTAAACAACAACAATACAGTGGTGCCGCGCAAGATAATGATAATCCGTTCCACTGAAATTGCTGTTTAGTGAAATCATTGTCTAGCGAAAAGCATTTCACCATTGGAATGCATTGAAACCTGTTTAATGCGTTCCAATGGGGAAGAATCATCATTGTCTAGCAAAGATCGGCCATAGGAAAGCCACTTTGTGAATCGCCGATCAGCTGTTTAAATAGCTGTCTTGTGAAGCTTAGATCCCAAAAACACCTGTTTTGCGAGCGCGGAGGGAGCTGTCAAAATCGTTGTCTAGCGAAAATCGGTTTGCGGAGCAGGGACCAAAGATTGTCCAGCGAAATTCCCCCATAGGAATCACTGTTTTGCGAATCGCTATAGCGATCGCAAAAAGCCATCGTCTAGCGAAAAAACTGTCATGCGGGGTAACTGTCTAGCGAGGCACCACTGTAAATATTTATTTCTAAAAATCAAGCTACCAGAACTGGCCACTAGAAGGCGTCAGAGACCATGCTGTGTGGAGTGTTAGCTCTTAAAATACTGTTTGCTCTTAAAATACATGTTTTTTAACATCTGTGAGGGGGGGCTTAGAGCCGATGCCCCACAGATTGAGGGGTCCTACTGAATTCTGTGATTCCAGCAGTGTCAGGAGGAGAGCAAGGCAAAAGGACCCAGAGTAGCCAGGGAAAGCTCGAGATGAGTCATCTCTTGGTTCATTTCAGTTCATCTTGGTTGAGCAAACAAGACTCTGGATTTCTCCAACAGAGGAAACCAGAGTCACACACTTGAGACCCTCAAAGAAACGGGGCAGAAGCTTCAGGATCGGCTCCCGTTTCCCCAAGGGTGTTCAAAGGCCAGCTGTGACTTTTGAGTCGCCTTCTGGGAATTCTAAGACCCACGATCAAGTTGTTCCAAGGTGGTGCTCTGAAACAGGACCAGGAGGCAGGAAATCCAGGTTCGAGTTCTCATGGATCTGTGTAACTCTCTGAGTGATCCAGCCCCCCCACTTTCTGTCCCCTGATCTACCTCACAAGGCTGTTGGGAGGATGAAAGGCAGAGGTCTCCTGCTTCGGCGTAAGGGACAAAAGTTTACAAATTGGTGGACCAACGAAAACGGGGTTCTGCCCTTTCTTTGGCTCAGCGCCAACTGCGGAAGCCGTGTTTTTTTTTCTTTTTCCTGGAAAGCCGGGCTTTCGATCCGACGAACTCCGATGACCAGCTTGCATTCGTTCATCCTTGTTCCATCCGAGGGACTTTGCACCCACCGCCAAGGCCGCCCTGATTTAGCTCCACAGATCAAACGAGTTGACTGCATAAGGAGAGAGGACATGCTGCAGATCGAACCTTTGTCCCGGGGGGGGGAGATCAGGGAGACCGTAGTCGTTGGGACTACAGTTCCCAAAATCCCCCATTCGGGGGGGGGCACAGGATGCTATCAATCTGGAAGAGTTAGGGCTATGAATCAGAAGGGTCTGATTCTCCTGGAGCGGCTTTCCACGCCGTCTGTGGTTTGCGAACAAGCAGGTTTTATCTTGATTATTTATCGCAAGGGATGTGTGAGCTTTGTCCACCAGTATTCAAAGGAATCCTTTAAGTGACAGAAACCGTCTGATTGTCCCGGCCAGAGTTTTCTGCACCTCCCATAACCTTTGCTTTCTGTTGGTCTTTTCGGGTTCATTTCTTGGAGCTGGTCACTTTCCGCAGCTCCCCTCCAAGGTGGGCAAATCTCTGAGCCAGCCAAATGACCAAACGGCTCTTTGAAGACCGCCGTGCGTGAACTCCAGCCTGGCCGCACTCCCTGGCACGCTTCCCGGCGCTACCACCTGCCAAAGGAACGTGTGCAAGGCACACCCGCGGTTTCACAACATGCCTCGGCAGGTCAGGGCAGTCTGTTTGGGCAGAAGAAAGCCAATGAAGGATGATTCAACGCAAGCTATTAGGGCGTGTGTGTGTGTGTGTGTGGGTGCCAGGAGGAGGGCACCCCTTCTCACCTGTGGGCATTTTAAGCTGCCACTGTCATGTTTCTGCGATGCGCCAGGCAACGTGTGGCCTGTCAGTGGCTACGGAGCGGGAAACAAGCGGTGTGGTCATCTTGAACCATGGGTGAGAAACATGCCTTTCTCTCCACATCCCTGAAAATGTCTGGACTTCCTTTTCTAAAAGCTTTACAGTTAAAAATAAATGAATGAATTAAAAGTTGGCCAAACGGTTTCTTTCTTTTCAACACAGACAAAAAAGAAAATCACTCCCAAGACGGAGCCAGGAATAAATCTTCTCCTGCAGCCAGGAAATCAGGAGGCAGCAGAGACTCGAGGAAGCCATGGAGGAATCAGAAAAGATCTCCAAGTGTCAGGAGGTCTCCCTGGAGACCAAGAACCAAGATCATCCACCCTCTTGTCTTTCTGATCTCCAGGTGGGAAAGTGGGCAGGAAAGCAAGCGGGTGGAGGGGTGGGAATGGATTTGTTTGAAAGGTGGTGCTGGAAGAGAGCTTTGTAGACCCCAAAGAACCAGTGGGTCCTAGACCAAATCAAGCCAGAACTCTCTTTGGGGGGTAGAAATGTTGACACAGATGCTTTCTTGCTTCGGGGTCCTCATAAGAAGGCAGGATTCCCTGGAAAAGACCATAATGCTGGGAAAAGTCGAAGGCAGCAGGAAAAGAGGAAGGCCAAATACGAGGTGGACCGACTCCTTAAAGGAAGCCATAGGGCTTGAGTTTGCAAGGCCCGAGCAGGGCTGTGGAGGACAGGATCTTCTGGAGATGGTTCATTCATAGGGTCTCCAGAGGTCAGAAGGGACTTGACCACACATAACAGCAACAAATCTGGGGTGTCCCCTTTCCCATGAATTCTCACTAGGGAGCACTAGCCTCTTTCTCAGCCTCAGTGTTCCCATCCACAATATGGGAATAAGATCATCGGTCTACCTGGTAGGGGTGTTGTACAAAAAGCAGAGAACGGAGGTGACGCTTTCCCCAGAATTTCTGACGTGACAGGGAGAGGCCAGTTTAAATTCCTGTTCAGACAGACCACTCACAGAGGATGGCCTGGGTCTGGTCATCAGCTCTTGGCCAAACCTATTTTAGAAGGGCTGTTGTGATGACTGAGCCGGGGGGGGGCAGATTTCTCAGGGACAGGAATAGATTCATCCAATAGAATTAAAGTAACTAGTAATTTAATGTGTGGGAGTCGATGAGAAGAAGCAGTATGATAGAAACACTTGTGATTAGTCATTCTTCAAAACCATTTTGATAAACTTTTGAACCTGGGCCAGGAATAATTAAATGATTCAAAAATACCTCTGGTTAATCAGTGTGGGATATCATGCTGCTGCATCCACGATTCAAAACACCAAGGGATTTATTTATTTGTTTGTTTGTTTGTTTGTTTGTTTGTTTATTTATTTATTTTTATAAATATAAATAAAAATATAAATAAATAAATAACTTATATCCCACCCATCTAGTCAACAGACTTTTCTGGGCGGCGTACAACATATAAAAGAAACAATTTAAAATATAACAATAATATAAGACATCATAATCAAACTGATTCAAGATGGAAAAGGTGTGCCGTATCGTGCGCGCAGCCGTCAAGAGGGTCACTACAGGATGCCACCTTCCACAAGCTGTCTCTCTCTCTCTCTCCTTATAAATGGACAGAAATATTCAAGGACACTAGTCCTCAGTGCCATAAGACGACAGGTGAAAAATATTTAAAACAATCAAACAAGAAAGGCCATTTGGTATCTCTGTTGGCCACGGGCTGGTGGTGAACATATGGCTCTTAAACAGGAGTACTGTAAGACCCCTGTATCTCCAGGGGATTGGTTGCGGACCCCAGTGTGGATGCTGAAAAACACACAAGAAAGCAAACACTATACACAGCATAGTATCTGGCTCCCTTTAGTGGCCAGTCATCATCATTTTTATTATTTTTTTTAGGATTTTTCTTTTAATATTTTTAGCATCATTTTTATTTTATTTTTTAGGATTTTTCTTTTAATATTTTCAGACCCTGGATAAGTGAATCCGTGGATACTGATCCTTCCGATAATAAAGGGGGGGTGTTTCCCTACTGTAATTACCCTCAAAGTTTGCTATTAGGTAAATATAGGAAATCTGTATTTATTTCTTCAAGAAGGCTATTCTGTGATAGCGCAGGGGGAATCATCTTAAGCCTAGTCACCGAAACCCCTAAATTTCTATCTGTGCAGGTGTGGTTTACAAAGAAGGAAGGTAAGTCCGCCTCCCTCTAGCTAGGAGGAAGGAGGAGCCCTGGATGGATGGATGGACAGTCCGACACACGGACGGATGGACGAGTCTGCATGTAGATCTTAGCCAAGACAAGACCCTCAGGATATCTGTTTACCCTCCTCTAGCTCAGATCACTTGCTACCGGGCTGTTACTTTTCACCATC